TGTGTTGTAGTTATAGGAGCAGGTGTCTCTCGCCTCTGCTTGCCCCTTACTATACACTGAGAGGCCAGGACTGGAATCTCTGACTACTGAATCTACTATATTGCTGCTACTTCAAGCTACTGTGCTTGAAACCTTAATGATTTTCCTGAGGGGAGATGGGACAATATCATCTAAATATTCAGAATCTTTGGCCCTTCTGAGAAAAGATTTTCTGGTAATTGAACCATGGGAAACCCGGCTTCTAGAGGGTTGTGTCCGGGTGTGTGTACGTGTGTGTACGCCCACGGGTGAGGGTTTCTCAGGATCCCTAACTTGATTCAAATTACCATTGAGTTTATATAAAGAATGAGTCTCTGTACAGAAAAACAAATGTGTGCATTCACACTCAGTTACAATGGTCTCCATTTCATTTCAAAGGAGAAGATCAGACTATCTGAATATAAACGCAATTGAAGTTAATTTATTCTAAGTACACCAGGATTTTGATTGTCCTAAAGAATTCTGCCTTTGTGAATAATGTGTTAAATTTTTTAAAGTTTGTGACAGGATTGTAGCAAATTATTATTTAAGGAAAATAAATTACACAAACATTTTAATGTGGCATTTTTAAATAGCGGTTTTTGTGTACCCAGAAGAGGAAGCTAAGCCAGTTACTTAATGTTACTAATGGAAAAATGATGTTGTCATGCTATAGTGCACGTAAACGAAGCCATTTTGATATTTAGCAAACTGGACCAATCGAGTAGCTTCCTGCTTACAAGATGGATAAAGACCTATTTGCGGGCGGGGAGGGGGTTCTAAAGGTTCTTTATCTCTAGAGCTAGCATATTCACTTGCATGCTTCCCATTTCTCCCATGGATATTTTACTGCTAAATGGCAGGGGTGGGAAGGTAGTGTTACACGGTGCTCTCACCTCATACTCTGAAACAAGAAACCATCGGGAAGTTTAGAGCTAACGGATGGGACATTCGGTTCTTGCTCCCACTCAGTACTACCTAGCTGTCAGCCTAGTCACTTAGGAGCTCTGTTTCCTCATCTGTACACCCGTAGGACTTTAGGCTGGGGCGAGGACTGAATCAGAACATGCTATCGATGTGACTGTTCATCAGCTGAGATAGAAACAGACGCCACTCTGGATGAGTTACCTGGAGCAGTTATCCCAAAAACAT